GGTGTGTGTGCCTGTCTGGGGATGTGCATGCCCGTCTGGGGCTGTCCCTGCCTGCCTAGAATTGTGCCTGCCGGTATGGGGCTGCACGTGCCCATATGGGATGCTGTGTTCCAGTCTGGGGTTGTGCGTGCCCATCTGGGGTTGTGCTTGTCTGTGTGGGGTTGTGCATGTATATATGGCATTGTGCGTGCCCATCTGGGGTTGTGAGTGCCTGTCTGGGTTGTGCGTGCCCGTCTGGGGTGGTGCGTGCCCATACAGGATTGTGCTTGCGCACCTGGAGATGTGTGTGCACATCTGGGATGCGTGCCCATTGCAGGGCTGTGCATGCACGTATGGGGTTGCGCGTGCTCGTGTGGAGTTGTGTGCACCCATCAAAGGCGGCGTGTGCTCCCCTGGGGTTGTGCTTGCCCACCTGGGGCTATGCGTGCCTGTAGGACGTTGTGCGTATCCAGACACGGTTGTATGTGTGCCTGTGTAGGGATTTGTGCCTGTGCTGGTTGTGTGGGTGTGTACAGGGCTGTGCACACTCACGTGATGTTCTGTGTGCCCATGCAGGGTTGTACACATCGATGCAGGGCTGTGCATCCTCGTGCAGGTTTGTACGTGCCCATGCAAGCTTGTGTGTGCCCCTGGAGGGGCGTGTGTGTGCATGTACAGGGTTGTGCACACGCTTGGGTCGAGTTGTGTGTGCCCGTGGGGGGTTGTGCACACTCATGTGGGGTCCCGTGTACCAACACGAGGTTATGCACGGTCACGTGGGGTTGTGTGAGCCCGTACTTGCCTTGTGCTTGCCTGGGTAGGGTTGTGTATGCTTGTGTAGGCTTGTGTACACCCGTGTGGGGTTGTGTCAGCCCGTGTGGGGTTGTGTACACCCACGTGAGGTATGTATATGTCCACAGGGATTGTGTATGACCCTGGGGTCATCTGCCACTTCGATGGTCAGTCCCCAAGTGAGGTGGGAGGGGACCGCAGTGCCCACCCTGCGTGGGGAAGAGGGTGAGTGTCAGGGCGAGGTGCCCTGGGTAGGGGATGGAGCTGGCTCCTTCTCCAGGGAAGGGTCCTCAGGGTGTGTGGGGGTCCCCTCCATGCCTGGAGCCTGCAGCAGAACACCACCCATGCCACCCCATGGCTTCCTTGTGAACCTGTGGCTGGGCAGCCTTGGCTGGGACCGAACCCGCCCCCCTGTCAGCAAGAATCCCCCAAAACCACCTCCTCTCCGGCCTGAGCATCCCCAAATCTCATGAGACACCCGATGCGTCCGCTGTTACTCAGCTCTGCTCTCATCTCCACTTAAAAGCCGACCTTTGCTCCCCGTTTGATGTAATGTGTTTTTGCATCTCAGTGCCCCACAGATAAAAGGTTAGAGGTTAATAAATGGTGGAAAAATAGATCCCGACGCTTGGAGGTCACACCTGTTTTGGGGGCTGGAGGTAGCGGCGGCACGCGCCAGGTGGGATTCTGCTTGCCTTGGTGGGAGCAGAACTGTGAGCAGCACCCAGGGGGTCCCGTGGAGCTGCGGGTGATGCTGAGCTCAGGGTGCAGGGTGCCACCCGCTAGGTTGACACCCCAGGAAGGTGGTGGCTTTGCTTTGCTGTAGGATAGGCAGCAGTTGTTGGTTTTGGGGGCTTTGCTCCTACTTTGACAAGGCGGGAGATCGCAGGGGGGTGGAAACGGGTTTGGTACGGAGCGGTGAGGGTCGGAGCTGTGCCGCAGGCAGGGACAGACAGGGAGAGGAAGGCAAAGCCTGGCTCACACAGCCTTCCTAGGGCAGAAATCAAAGCAGCCCCCCTGGAGCTCTGCTCTGAGCCTGACCTAGTTACCGTAATCGATGGCTTGACGAGCTCCTGGGAAAAGGGCAGGCGATGGAGAGGAGGCACAGAGTGGAGCAGGTCTCCGCCAGGGTGGAGGGGAGGGACAGGGTGCTGGCACCCATGGGTCAGGGCACCCCAACAGCACCCTGCTGCAAGGAAGGGATGGGTAAGTGGCACCCAGAGTGTTTGTTACCTGTAAAAAAAGGTCAAAATCCCGATTCTCCCAAAACGCAGAGACTATGTTTAGAGAGGAGACATTGCTTTATTCTGGCCAGGTTGTAAGGTGGAATATTTCCACAAACCATGCACACCAAACAGGAGCGTCCACACAGTTTATATACACATTTTACAATATCACTATCATATTAGTACCACCCATCTGTATTTGATTGGTTAGTAATTTACGTATGATTTCACAATCAAGTTATACCTACTACTCATGTTCAGGGAAAGGGTCTTCACCTGGGCTAGGGTCTTCTTGACACATGGGCATGATTTTTAGTATTATACTGAAGGAAGTTCAGCTTAGGACACGGAGGATTTTCACTTTTCTGACAGGTTGGTTAAACTTTTCAATACATGTAGGTTAGTAGCACTTTCAAGGTCTGTATGCTCGTATGGTCCAGCATGTTTCACTTCAAGAATGACAACAATACTTGCTTTCCTTGATTAGTAGTTCTTTTACATATGACTCACGATTAGAATCCTCATTATCCATGAGAATGTCTTAAAAGTCCCTCAACTAATCATCCCTGACACTTGTAAAGAAACATCCCCAAGGCCAACTATCTGGCCAAGTACACAACAAAATGGTCATATTCAAGACCCTATATCAAAAGTTCAGCTAATGCCAATGGTTAACAGGCCTAACTAACTTCAGTGCTAACAAAACTGGCTAAAATTTTAACTATAAGACAACAAGAGGGCAAGGAATTGGCAGGGATGGAGCACCATGGAGTGGCTTGGAGCTGGGTAGTCAGCACCCATGGGTGTGGTGGGAGACAGGCAGTAGCACCCATAGTCTAGGTTAGGGACAGGCAGTTACACCCATGTTTTAGACAAGGGACATGCAGCTGGCACCCATGGGTTAGATGAGGAACTGTGTTAGATGTGACTGTCTGGTGATGAGAACCGGGGGGGTGTCTGTGGGAGCATCCCTGCATCCCCACATCCCTGTGTGTCCCCATGTCCCACCACCCCCGCATTCCCACATCTCCATGTCCCCCAAGTCCCTGCATCCTCACATCCCTACATTCCCAAGTCCCCGCGTCCCTGCATCCCCGTATCCCTTCATTCACGTGTCCACATCACATCCCTGCATCCCCCCATCCCCACAACCCCGTAGCCCAGCTCCCTTTATCTGCCCAGTGAATGATGTGCTCTGTGGAGGGGGTGTGTGCTCCCTTTCTATTGGTTTTTAACGGCCTTTCCCAGCACAATTGTTTTTTGAACGACTCTATTTTGTGCCTGACTTTGTTTTCCAGCTTGCATTTCTTTGTATATGTTTTGGAAATCCATTCTGGACTGCTGAGTTTTGTTTCTTTTCAATGGCTTTAAATTCTTACCAGGCTCGCTGGGAGGAATTGGTGTCTATAGCGCCTTCGATTGGTGCTAATTTTTCCTTCATGTGCTCTGACTTTTACTGCTGGGCCATCGATCTGGTGGGCTCCAATTTGTCATGGTCACCCAGGCGCTGTGCTGGAATCAGGCGAGCCCTGGCTTTCGCACGGAGCCGGCGCTTCATGTCCCTCTTGTAGGGGCTGCGCTCGCCTCTCCGGTGCCGTCCCTCAGCTCAGCCTGGGCAGTTGTGTCCATCCATCCAGATCCACATCCACCCAACACACATAGGTATCCTCACAGCCATATCTGTGCATCTGTGCAACCACACGCACAGTCACCAGCTTGCACATGTGTCGGTGCCCCCACAAACTTGCTGGGGCACACAAGCACCAGCGTTGGGGCATACATGGCGCTGCACCTGCTGTTTTGTGCTCGTGTGCTTGCACACAGTGCACACGCATCTGGCTTTGCACGCACATCTGGCTTTGCACACATGCAGCCACCGTGGGAAGTCCTTGTGCCCTGCAGGGATGTGTCACTGACGTGCTCACGCCCTGGTCCCCATGCGTAGCCAAGGAAGATGGAATTGGGGTCCCCATGCCTAGTCAGGGAAGGTGGCTTTGGGGTCACCATGCCTGGCCAGGGAAGGTGGCTTTGGGGTCACCATGCCCTGCTGAGGGAGGAGGATTTGGCAGCATGTCCCTTTGTGGAGGTGGCTTATGCTGTCCTCGGCCATCGATCAGGCCCTGTCTCACCATGACACAGCTTGGGCCATGCTTATCAGGTCGTCGGTAGCCCTGGCAGCCCTGGTGCTTGCATCTGCCTCACCAGCACCCAGTGCCATGGCCCTGCCAGCTTGCCCTGCCCTGGGACAGGACCAGCATCTCTGCCATGTGGGTGGATGCCTGTCTGCAGATGAGGATGCTGATTCCATGCTGTGACCTGGTGAGCACTGGCACTGGGCAGTGCTGGGAGGCTGCTGACCCAGAGCAGGGCTAAGCATCCCCATCCCAGGGACCTGCCTGGGACCCTGGGGTTTGCCGCTGCCCTGTCTACATTGACGTCATCTTCCCAGGCAGAAACGCTGTCATCCCTCCACCTAAGGAAGTAAAGGGGCAGGGAAACTGAGGCACAGATGCAGCATCTCTGCAGTGAGGGTGCAGAATAGTCAGTGGTGAGTAGGAAGCCCATGCTAGCCCCCAGGCACAGGGAGAGCCCAGTGCTGCCAGCATGGAGGGTGCGCCGGGGGGGTCCTGTCCTTGGGGCAGGGAGAGCATCTCGCTGCTGGCAGAGCAGGCACGTGAAGCCGGGGGTGATGCCGGGTCCTGGCACAGGCAGGGTCCTGCCCCCGGCACTGCCCCCCTCCGCCTCGTGCACCTGTGTGTGCCCGCGGCACTGACACCCTCTCTCTCCTGCCCCCAGCTCTATGAACTGGACGAGGACCCAAAACGCAAGGAGTTCCTGGACGACCTCTTCAGTTTCATGCAGAAGAGAGGTAAAGGTGGGTGGTTGGGGTGGCAGCCACTGGTATCCCTGCCCCAGCCGCCTGGAGAGGCTCACGGCATGGTTTACTCAGGCACCGAGTTGCTGCGGGGCTTTACAAAGCCCCCCAAAA